TCCCAGCTACTTGGGAAGTGGAGACAGGAGACTCACTTGAGCCCAGGAGTTGGAGATTGCTGTGAGTAATGCCACAGCACTCTTCAGGGGGACAGCTTGAGACTCCGTCTCAAAAAAAAAAAAAAAAAATTATTTTTATCCATGCATGGTGGTGCGCGCCTATAGTCCCAGTTACTTGGGAAGCTGAGGCAGAAGAATTGCTTGAGCCCAGAAGTTTGAAACCAACCTTGGTGATATAACAAGATCTTGTCTCAAAAAAAAATTATTTTTATAGATACACAAGGAAAGAGTCACTCCAAGTGTTACCTTTCTCGTGGCTAAGCAGTACCTAGAGACAAGTGGAGCTGTGAGAAAGCTATAGGGTTGATTTAGGGTCAGAGGGGACCACTTTATCTGAGCTATTAAAATCTGTATATTACTTGATTTCAGTTGAACCAATAGTAAATATTTGGCTATTGGAAGGTTAGAAAAAAATCTTTCTTATGTGATTTTATTTTATCAATATGAGAAAATTTCTTGATCATATGCACACAATACATTGCTACACATGCACGTATCCTTAAAGTAGTACTTGAAGAAAATCGGTTTTGATTGACCATACAATCTCTGGATTAAAGTAGAGTACTGATTTTCCCTCATCAGATTTGTCCCTGAAGCGTTGCTTTTTTTGTGTTCAGATGATGATTTTCCTGCCTCCCAGTGTTGCTGAACTGGAGCCGGGCCATGTTTCTCACTGAAATGCTATCTGAAACATCTCAATGAGGTTGCCTGCAGCTTTATGAGCTCTTTAGTTTACACACCTTAGCCTGCTGCTTACCTTAACCCTTATGAAAACAAAACAGCCTTTTGTTAATCCATAGCCCTAACACCTTCTCATCACTATTTACCTTTTTGATGTCATCTTCTTTTATTTCCTCCCTAATTCTACAGATCTCAGAGCTCCAAGATGTTCTGCAAGTGTTTTTATTTGTGAGGAATGAGAAGCCATCCATGGAAATTTGAACTGAGTGGGGGCAGAGAAAGGGTACAGATCCCTTCACTTGTGAAAGAATTGTCAGTGAGTGAAATGCCTTCACCCTGGGAAGCCATATGAGGGAGCAAAAAAAGGACCTAGTACATGGTGTATGAACTTCCTATGGAATTGTCCTTGTGAGACGCTTTGAAAGTGTACCCCACTCCCCCAGTCTTCAACTTGCTGTCATTTCCATGTCTCCTAAAGTGGATCTGCACATATTCAGCTGACTGGGTGATCTTGAGGCTGACACCTGCTGCAGAAAGGAAGACTTCTCATTGTTGCAGTTGCCATTGGACCCTTTTCTCAGTGGAGCTCCAGTTTTCTTACCTAGCTGTCATTTTTTTAAATGCCTTTGGGGGATATTTTTTGTGAGCCCCCACCAAGTGATACATCACCATTTTCTGACCTCTGGGCTTTGTTGCTCAGCAGGGTTCTGAAGGAGAGTTTCTCTCATTGGCCAGGCCCCATCTTCTCCCATCACTGCCCTGCTGTGACTCCAAAGAAAGGAGCTTCTTGTTGACAGTGCCCTGTGGAGTGAGGCTGTGTTTCCTACCTCACACAGTGCTCAGTGGGTGCCAGCCCTCAGAGTGGCTTTGTGATGGCTGCCCTGGAGGAGAATGCTCTCTCCTTCTTCCCTGCTACTGCCTGCTGTTTTTCAAGCATTGCTTCAACACAGACATGGAGCCCCAGCCCCAGCAAGGCTCTTCTGTTCCCATCTGTTGGCAATGTCTTATGGAGCATTTTTGCTACGTAAAAGGTCACTGGTAAACAGAGGAGAAAAGAAAGGAGTATTTTCTCATTTGGTATTTTTAAAAAGCCCAAAGTTTAACATAAGTGAAAACTGAGGGAATCCCTGCCTTCGTCAGGTGCGAAGATTCATAGATATGTAGGAATATCACCCAAAATAGTCTCTCAAGCTCACAGAAAGTGTGCAGGGAAATTCTCACATCTTTTGTCTTCTGTAGCCATTAACGTGGAAAAGTTAGACATCCCTTCCTTCTCTCTCTTCGGTATGTGATTTTTTTAACACCAAAAGTGAAGAGGGAGTTTCTGGTTCTTTTTGTTTGTTTTGTTTTGTTCTTTTCTGTTTTGTTTAGAGACGGGATCTCTCTGTTGCCCAGGCTGGAGTGCAGTGGCTATTCAAACAGGCACCATTGTAGCGCCCCAGCCTTTAACTGGGCTCCTGCGATTTCCTGCCTCAGACTCTTGAGTAACAACACCCAGCAGTTTCTGGCTCTTTGAATACCAAAAGGGAAGAGGGTCCTGATTCTCACTTCAGGGTTGTGGGAGGTTGGGTTGGGGGATTTTTTTGGTTTTGTTTTGATGGCCCTAGAGCACAAAACTGAAAGTTGCAGGAGATCTTTGGAACCAAAGTATAGCATGCTGAGTCCATTGCTTGCCACCACAGGCAGGCAGATAGAAGTGTGACCCTTCTCTCAGCATGCCCAAAAGTCAGGATGTAAGGCAGAAACTCCCTGTCATGTTGCTGCCCCATCCTGTATTCTCAGCATCTCCTTGCCTATTTTCTAGTCCAAAGGGGAAAATATACATTTTTTATGAATACACATCAGTTTTCCATGCCCTAAAGCCCATATATCGCCACTTGGCAGTTTTTTAAAATAAACCCCACTATTACCTATTGCCATAAACCTAGTCCACGCTCCTACTTTTCTGTATTTTCCTGCCCTTGTCTGCTGTTTCGGCCGCTTATTTTAGAGTCCTTGCCTGCTAAATCCCGGTTGGAACTCATTGTCTATGACAGAAGGACATTCAAAGGCAACTCTGGAAATTTGTGTCTGCCAGATGCTTCCTATCCTGTCTTCCTTCCTAATATTTCCTCTCTGTTTCTCCTTTGTGTTCAGTTTAGTGCAGCTTTGTTAGCACTGCTTTTGTGACTAGGAAAGGTTGTCACTTTGTCCAAGATCATCATTCTCCTGTCTCTGGATAGGACACCTGACAATGACCTGAAATATTTGCATATTCAGGAAAGAAGGAGATCTCAAGAGAGCATACAATATGAAATCATTGTCACAAAATAGCAGCTTGCTGTGGAAGTGCTGGCTCTCCCGGTAGCTACATACCTAACTCTCTGGTGGCTGAGATTCAGCTGCCACGAAACTGTCAGGTTTTGTAGAGCAGGTCTGTGCCACCTCCTCTATCCTCTCTGCTCACTGAGGAGGTGGCAGATGAGGTTACAGGCTGGCACAGCACCTAATTCATGTTTCCCAGTACACTTGTAGATACTGTTGCATTTATGTGGTCCTCCCCAGAAATCAGCTGATGTCTATTCAGTGTTACAGAGTTCTTTTTTATTATTATTATTATTAAAACAGGAAGCAGCTGAATAAAGGAAAATACGGTATTTTATTTCTGACAAATTTTAGAAAAAACTTGTGTATATGTGTTTGGAACTGTTGAAATGCCAAGTTTTCTGTATAAGTGTTTCTGTAATTAAACTTTTAGATTTTCTTTGTTTTTTTAAGGAATTGATAAGTTTGCTTGACATTTGTCCCATTAAAACTTTTATATGTTGAATCCACCTGATTCAATTTTACTTGCATTGTAATGAAAAAAAGTCCTACCTCTGCTTTTCCCTCTTAAAGACTGTCAACTCTACCTTAATCAAGTCAGTTGTGCTTTTAAAACACATCCATTTTACTAATTGTGTCTTAAAAATGGATCATCATCTGTTGAGAGTTCAGTTCTTTTAATATGTGTTGCAACAATGCAGTGAGTTGTATTCATTACGATGTAGCAGTCATATTCTTGAAGGACTTTTTTAAGTCAGTGACTCTGAAGTCCCCTTGATAGGAAGGCATTTGACAAAAGAGATGAGTTGTGCCTAAATTCTTGCTTTTTAAAAATAATCATTAACCAATCAAAATCTTTTTAAGGAAATTTGTCACTTATTTCCACTATGCTTTTAAAATCCTGGCTGTCAGAGCCTGCTGCTCCCCAAGTAGGCAGTTGTATGGTATTAGGCAAGTCTTACTGTGTTTCAATTCCATTTTTCTCTTCTGACATAATACATGCCTCAGCTCTCCTGCACTGTTGTTAGCAGGGTAGAATCAGGAAACACATTGGACTGCATTGGATGGGAGGATAGGGGAAGTGTCTCGTTGCCTGCTTGCCAATAAGTAAGAGAGTATCTCAGTCAATGCTGGGTTTGACTACTTTGAACAAACCCAAGTCAGCAATGGCTTAAATAAGAAGTATGTCTCTTTCATTGAGAAATACAGGCAGTCCAAGACTAGTATGGAGGCATCTGACCACACATCACTGTTCCTTTCTCAAGGTCACCTTAAGATACAAAATAGCCACTGGACCATCAGCCATCACTTTGAAATTCCTGGCAGCATGAAGTGGGGAAGAGGGTTAAGGACAAAAATGGCAAAGCTAGCTGAGCCAACACCCAAACGAGTCTTTCTGGAAATCATACTCAGCACTTCTCATTTGGCCAGAATTCAGTCATGTGACTATAGGGAGGCTGAGAAATGCCATCTTGTGTGGACCTTATTGCCCCCAATAAATACAGGTTTTAGTAAGGAAAAAAGAGAAAATGAATATAGAGAGGCCACTGACATTAATTTCATAACGCATATGTTTGGCTCCACATAAGGAGGAAGCCCAGCCCTGCTATATTAATGAGGGAGGTGTATTATCTTGCCTTTCCATTTGGCCATCTAAGAATGAATGTACTTCCTGGGTACTTTTTTTCCCCCAAAGAGCCAGAAAAGTAAAAACTATGTCTTCAATTGAGTTGGCTTTTCCTATTCCCATCTTAGCTCCTCATCTACCCCTCAACAGCCAGTCTTGTTTGGTAAAAGTCAACATAAACAGGTGGTAATCCCTCCCCCAGTTGTTTGTTCCCCTTCTCAAACCGTTCAGCATGTGCTGGATTAAAACACCAGGATAGGCTCAGCGCCTATAGCTCAACCGGCTAAGGCGCCAGCCACGTACACCTAAGGTGGCGGGTTCGAATCCCCAGCCCGGCCCCGCCAAACAACAATGATGGCTGCAGCCAAAAAATAGCCAGGCGTTGTGGCGGGCGCCTGTGGTCCCAGCTACTTGGGAGGCAGAGGCAGGAGACTAGCTTGAGCCCAAGAGTTGGAGGTTGCTGTGAGCTGTGATGCCACGGCACTCTACCCAGGGAGACAGCTTGAGGCTCTGTCTCAAAAAAAAAAAAAAAAACACCAGGATAATCTTTCCCTAAGGGTGGGGAAATTGAAGCATTGCTTAGCGGAAACACTCATAGCTACTTCCTGCCCACTGAAAGAATTTCCTGCCTTGCAACTGAAAGTTCTAAGTCAGGGGCTTTTTCTTTGTTTTATTTGTTTACCTTGGACACATAGCCTGCATGCAGATATATACTTTATAATATCTATAAACACTAGCTCATATGCCAGCCCATAAAAGAGATCAAGACTGAGATTCAGGTCAGGCAAAATGTTAATGTACATCCACTCATCCAGAAACCATTTCAGTTTAGTTTTCATGGGAATATGTGTCTACAGGGACACACTTGTACCAGAAGTAGAAAGTGAATTCTCTTAGTCTAGAGAAAAACAGAAAGGAGAAGGAGTCACAAGGATCTAGGAATGGCATTGGGAAGTTATAGGCGATGCAAATTTTCCAGATAAAAGGGCTTTTAAAAACCACCTACAACACTCATCAATGGGAAAATGCCTTGGATGTTCATGTGGGAATATGGAGAGAGGACTGAGCATGCAGGCAGTTCTCCTGGCCACAAAGAACCCACACCACCCAACATGGGAGAGCCAGGTTCTTTGTAGCCAGCTCCTCTCCGTTTCACTCTGTTCACTATTTGGGACTACATGGGTGTTTATAAGATATGGTTTCTGCCCTCCTTGGTTTCTCATAGTCTAGTGGGAAATACAGAGGTGTACATAAATAGTTCTAATAAAGGGTGGCTTCTATTAAGAATTTTAATAGTTATAAATAATATTTGATGAGTAAAACAATTACTTGAATCTCACCTGACAATAGATGGCTTTTCTATAAGTGCAAAGGGGGTTGCAGTGGGATTTAGATCTGAGTCTCCAGGGATCAATATCTTAACTAATAAGAACTTTATCTGAAATGTAAATTAAATATAGAAATCTTTTTTTTTCTTTTTTTTTTTTTGGCCAGGGCTGGGTTTGAACGTGCCACCTTTAGTATATGGGGCTGGCGCCCTACTCCTTTGAGCCACAGGTGCTGCCCAAATATAGAAATCTTAATTGATAACCATCAGGGTCTCTCTGGTAGAGATTAAAGTAGCTGGAAGGTAAGAGCAATGGATTAATTGTAATTTAGACAAACAGTTTTTCAAAGTAAGTTTTTCACATGTTAATATGTAGGTCACTACAAAAGTTTTGAGACAGACTGTGTTATGATCCATTATTTCACTTCCAAGAAACAAAGTCCTTTCTGATTGACCCAAGCAAGTTTCAACTTGCTTGCCTCTTAAGGTTTCATTTGTTTCTGTTTGTGCATGTTTTACTTTCTTGATTTTTATGTATCTCAAAACTTTCGTAACGACCCACATACAAAACTATTTTTAAAAATTAAAATTAATAGCCAGGTATTATGGTGGGATCCTGTAGTCCTAGCTACTCTGGAGACTGAGGCAAGAGAATCGCTTAAGCCCAAGAGTTTGAGGTTGCTGTGAGCTGCGATGCCACAGCACTCTATCCAGGGTGACATAATAAGATTCTGTCTCAAAAAAAATTAAAATGAAGAGGCAGTTTTAGTTACAACCTTAAAAAAAAATTAAAATAGCCGGGCATGATGATTTATGTTTGTAATCATAGCACTTTGGAAGGCTGAGGTGGATAAATTGCTTGAGCTCAGGAGTTCAAGACCAGCCTGAGCAAGAGTGAGACCCTGTCTCTACTAAAAATAGAAAAACTAGCCCAGTATTGTGGTAGGCACCTGTAGTCACAGGTACTTGGAAGGCTGAGGAAAGATAATCATTTGAGCACAGGAGTCTGAGGTTACTGTGAGCTGTAATGCCATAGCACTCTACCCAGAGCAACAGAGTGAGACTTTGACTGGAAAAAAAAATTTTTTAATGCAGAGGAACTTTTAGAATGTACTT